CGACGCTCGCGAATATCGCGAGATGCGATTTTACAACCCTCGGAGAAAATAGATGCGCGCACACATAATGGGTGCCCTCTATTCATTACAATTTCCTATAGATAATGATGGCATAGAATGTATCAAGTATAATCTCTTTCTCTTTCCAGTTGGAAATCATTGCATTTTTAAACATGTGATTTTTTGCGTTCCTTTCGATGATTAGATTCTTGAATTTTCAACTTTGTCGTTAATCGTGCGATAAATTTGCGGTTTCTCGAATTTAGATATTCTCCCTCTTCCAATCTTTGAATTTTAAGATCCTCGGATGTCGTAGAACTGTTTGCTCGCGGTTACCTCGTCTTTCAATTACGGGGTTAACCTATCCACCTACCTACCCGATGATGCATAACGGGAGTCTCAGCACTGACGTAGCTAAACCACCGTCGCATTCAAGAGAATCTCGATGTGGCCGATGCGGCACAAAACTATCCCTGACACGCTCTCGTATCCCTCCGCTCGTATCCCTCGCGACACATTAACGGCCAACCGTAACCGTTTCTGGAGCGAACGCGCACCGGAAGACCCGGGTCGGATCCGCAAGACGCGACTAGTCCAAGTTTGCCCGTTCACCACTTCCGCCGACGAGAGTCACCCCTGCCGTGCGCGCGAAGGGCGAACGCGTTAGCGGAGAATGCGAGCAGATGCGGTCGGGGGTGATGCAGGGCACATACGTTGAGAAACGTATTTGTAAACATACATCCTACCTTACGAAGCTCGAGCAGCCGTGTCGCAGTAAATCCCGGTACATTAATATTAATGCGTCTTCGGCATGTACTGGGCCGCTCCCCCTTTCCGCTCCTTCTCTCCTATCCTTCGATATCGGTCCTTCACGTCGTAGAAAGCGCAGGGAGTTTGGCGAAGTTTACAACGCAAAGTGCATACAGAACCTGGAACTCTTTACAATACCCAGGCACCTCTCACTCGCTCGTTTTCCTTTCTGTCTCTCTCTCTCTCTCTATTTCTCTCTCTTTCTTTCTTTTTATTCCGCTTTTGCTAAATTAGCGAACAGGAAACATGTACTAGTGAGTAGATACATGCATTTTGTGGAATTTCAGGCTCTTTGAATCCTCTGATCTTCGGTCTTGTGTTCAATCCCGACTGCATAATGCGGATAAATATTTTAATAGAGGTCTACGTTCGTAGATCTCTTTGAATTCTAACATCTTCTACTGATACGTGGATTTTTAAATATGATTAATTGTAAGAAAAGAACTTCAATCTTTCGAAATAACGATTTTTAACATAATACATGACACGATCGGTATATTAAGTTAAATAATGAATATTATATTTTTATTATATGATACACGATCGCAGCGTGAAACGTCCACCGATTGATCATCGCAAGGGATAGATCGTCGCCTTTTCCGCGGCTCTGCGGTTGGCCATAACGATCTCTCGTTAGCGCAGCTAATTACTTTGGTAGTGTGCAGTGGACCGTGAAAGGTCGTTAGTTAGTAGCATCGGTTAGTAAAACGATGGAAACCTC